TGATATAGTCTATAGGATATTGAGAACAATGTCCAATTCAAGTATAGGGGCATGTCTAGCATTAAGGTTTTTTTCTTTTTATTTTTTATTTTTTATGTTTATTTATGTAATTTATGTGTTTGTTTTAGGTTATCCCCTAGTAAAAAAAAATAAAAATTTTTAAAATGAATGAAATGAATGCCATGATTTAGTGTGATGTTCTTCCTAATTGATATTTAATGATAAGTTTAATGAAATTTGATGAGATAATTGAGAATGTTTAGGATATTATTGTTGTAGATATGCATGCATGCTTGAAAGCTTTATGTGCTTTTATGATTGAATATAATTTAGGTAGTAACATTGACTTCGTAAGTATACCTTTGAAAACTATACCTAAGCATGGTTTAAATAAATGGGATTTTCTAATTTTTTATGAAAATTTGAAAAGCATTCCATTAGAAAATATGGCTCGATTAAGTAAAAATTATACTCCAATTATTTGAGTTGCTTAGTAATTAGGAGTATTCATCACAAATGTTTATTTTTACGTTAAATAACAATTCGAATTATGAGTATACACTTTAAGTTGATGACTTGTTAAGTAAATTGTTACCTTCATTACAAATGTCGGTATTCACATAAAAAGGCAAGTGATCACTTAGGGAAGAGTTATTAAGGCCTTAACAAAGATTAAGATGCTAAAAAAGAAAACATTTTGATTAAAGAAAATCTCAATTTATTGCTTTGCTTGTAGTGGTGGAAAAGGGGTAAAGGTAAAGATTGTGTTGCATGCTTGAATTGTGTTTGGCTATAAAGATACATAAATCAATTTAGGGATGTGCATTGAGATAATAATAATATTTTGAACATAATCGATTTGATTGTTGGATTTTGTTGAATTCTAAATTGAGCATCAATGTTGAAAGAATAATTATACCGGCATGACAATTGTTTGAACAATTTTATGGGTTTATCGTCTAAAAACCCTTATGAGATATAACTCATCTAGTAAGGATAACCTAGGGGTTTAAAGGCTTGTTACATGTGCTAAATACAATCGTGATTCCTACAAAAGTGAGTTAGGTTTTCATTTTTTTCTCTAGGACTAGAAAAGTTTAAATGTGAGGGTATTTGACAAGCACATAATTATAATGATTTTTATGCTCTATTACATTGAACTTTTTAATATTTATTATACTATATTATATTAATTAAGATCAATATGACATTTTTAGGTTTTGTAAGAAAAATGATGAATCGGGTAAGGAAACCCAAACAAAAACAAGAACGAAAGAAATCATCAAGGAAGCTATGAGTCGGACGACCATGCCACTCATAAAGGAAATTAACTACTAGTTATGTGACATTAAGGAAGAAATCTTGCTTAGTAAAAAAGCTATACGGGTAGTAGCATTCCACACAGTTAGAAGAAGAAAATAATGTCAAACTAGATTGTCTTTCAAGAGAAAAGAAGACCACGCGAGCATTAGGCATTCCACATGGTTTGTAGAGTAGAGAGACATGCATGTGTCTTATAAAGTAGAAGAAGTCTACACGACCGGAAAGAATTAAGATGGCTTGAAGGCAAAAGGCACACGGTCATAGGCCTCTATTCGAGTAAATCATGTAATACCGCTTTTATTCAAAGCTTCAAATCATGTGAAATTGAGTAACAAACCATGTAACTTTGTTTAGCAACCCGTGTGACCATGTGGGGTCGACACCTATGTGATATAGTGATGTTAGGGTTTTGTTTTGGGATTCTAACTCCCAGCAGACCACTATATATAGAAAACTCTTCCTTATAACCCATTATGAACAACTAAACACCATTCTTGGTTGAATCAAGTCGAAGCTTTTGGTTAAATTACTATGAGATTATGTGTTTTATTTCTAAACTTATTTTGTTTTAGTATTTTATGTTTTTCTATATGATTAGTTTACAGTTATGTGATTAAATTGATTAAAGTGCACCCAAGTTGTTTGATCATATTAACTTATTATTAGTTAAGTATTCAAGTTCGTATAATTACTCATCTAAACTTGCATGTAGTAGTAATAAGGGGTTGATGATTATTTTTCATGTTTTTCTTCAATCCCTTGAAAAAAATAGAACTAGGTTAAATCTTTCTAGCATTTAGGAGGGTGGCTTAGCTTCACTTGTCTTTCTTTGATTAATGTTGTTATTGGATTAAATCTATCTAGCACTTAGTAGGTTGTTCACTAGTTAGGGAATTAATCGAGTATCGTATATTCGATTAACGACTAAGGAAAGGCTAGGGACAATATACATATTATTGTCCTATGGTGAATATTCATATTTAGGATAAGTTAATAATTTAATCGAAAATCAATGACCAAACTAAAAGTGGATATTGAAGTTCAACCAACGTTCCTTTATTATTGTTATTTCAATTTACTTTAATTATTTTCAAACACTTCAAACACAAAACCCCCTTTCTTTATTGTTGTTACACTACGAGAACAATCAACCAAAAGAAACTCGTTAGTTAAGCCTACTTCCCGTGGGTTTGACCCTTACGTGCCCTACTTATACTATTGTGGTTAGGCTCTATAAAGACATTATAAATATCTAATTTGTTGGAGGTATGACATGTCATCGGTACACCAATCCTCTAATATGATAACCGTAATGACTTTATGTCAAAGAACCGATTGCACCCATCTCATATGATATTCTCATAAACTACACCAAATAAGTTCTCATGACGAGTCATATCTAGTAATATATCCTTTAACATTAATCATCTAAGTATTTGCTTTAGCATCGGCATGCCAATAGGTATGAGATCCTATTGCTATCTTATAGCAAAAACATTGCACTCGAAGTCTGATTGCATATAATCAATGTCCATTATTAACAATGCTACGACTTGAGACATTTAATAATATCATTTAAATGCATTAATATTTGTCTCTCATCTTTCGATCAATTATTAATGCAATACATATCATATGGACTTCTATCTAATTCTATCAAACTTTACTATAACTCAAACCTTAATCTTTATTTTGTAATAAAGCATTTTAAACCATATGCAAATAAGAATTGAGTTGAAAACCAACTAATAAAGTCCATATTAAGTACTCCCTCCATTCCAAATTGATAATCCATTTGATTTTTCCTAGAGTTTAATAAAGTTATTAATTATAATGTTATATCAGTATTTTTAATAATAATTTTTTAACATATATTTTTTTAGAAGAAAATCTATCTAATTTAATCCAACATTATAAAATAAAGTACTTTTTTAAAATAAAAAATACTCGTATTAAAAACTTTGACAAAAAAGAAATATTTTGAAGTAAATATAAATGGAACGAAAGACAATTATTTTGGGATAGAGAGAATATTATAGTTTTTTGGTAAGATAATTAAGCATAGAAGAGGAGAGTTTTTCATAACATTATTATTGTTGGGTTTCCAACTTGGATTACCAATAGATAGTAGGTGGTTTAGCATATGCCTAGCAATGATGATCAAATCTTCTATTTAATGTTTTAGCATTCATGTCAATAAATAAATAAATAAAATAATGTTTTTAACATCTTGGCAAATCATTATAGAATTTATGATGTTGATTGGAAGCATGTTTACCTTACTAAAGAGCAATCTTTTAAGCATGATGCCTTTGAAATCCTATTTACTTCAGCTCCATTATCTTGTATTTGTTACTGTTAAAACTCCAATATGTTCCCTCATGACTATAAATTCAAGGCTAGCATTTTTATTTTTCGATTCCAAATTACGTGCACGAATCCATTCAAATTGCTTTCATATTCCTTTAGAACACTGGTTATTAAAGAAGATAGAAATATCCTGCTTCTTTTATAAAAGTTGTAAGTGTCTTTCTCTAAACACGTAACTATATAATAATATTGGTGCACATTTCGCTGCATCATCTCAGGTTATGATTATGTTGCTTGGTCGTACTAAGTAATACTAATTTATATTTGACCACGAGCAACTGAATTAGCAATGGGTCGCATAAAATGATCCCCACTCCTTCAGCCCAACGCGCCAAACCCAACAGCCCCCGCCCCACCGCCCACCACCACATATATATATATGTTAAGAACTAGTAAAAATCATGTGAACTAAAAATTTCCTACATTTATATACTTCTATATACATTTATTATTCATTAAGTACCGAGATATGGGCTATGGATATTATAGATATAGCTAGCATTGACGTTTTTGCAAATTTCTTACATTCAAGTCGATTTCTTTGGTGCATTGTTAAGAGTGGGTTTTGTCAACTCTCTATCTCATGATATTTTGTCTCAACTCCTCACACCTACTTTTAATATTTAGCAAACTTCCATGTATACAATTAAGGATTAATTAATATGTCTTTAGCATGTCTAAAATCCTATTTGATCACTATGGTTCTTAATTGACTGGTTAATCTTTATTCAGAATAGAAAGAAAAAGTTATTTTTTAATTCGATGTTCCTCTTGTTCTATCACAAGTTTAACTATTTTTTTTTTTTTTTTTTTTTTAAGCAGACTCCTCCAACTTGAAAACTGAACAACAAATATGGACATGCTATTTGGCATTTTAGTTTCAGTAGCTATAGTTGTGGTTTTGGTGCTTCTACTCTGGGTGTGCTGGTGCATCCGTAACGAACCTCTAAAAGCAAGAAAGAAGATAGAAGGTGGTGTCAAAGATCTGACGGGCATGGATTCACCATGACCAACTTAGTGCCTCAAATGGCTCCAAAGTATTAATTGGACTTAATTAATTGACATCTTCAATAATTAGTTGCGCTAGTAAAACATAGTCATAATTGTTTATTGTTTTCTCCAATTTTTTTCAAGATTTTGGTACCTATGCATTTTTCTTTGTTGAGGACTACTAGGAAACCTTCAAATTGCTAGTACTTCTATTATTACTTCTATTATTTTCTTTTATTGATTGATTAGCTGTTTATTTTATTTCAATTATTATTTAGTAATTTTTTTTTTTTCATGATGGCAAGTGCGGTAACAAGGTTGTGTGCATCCCTTTACAGCCGATGTTGTTGTCGATCTTGATCTTGATATTTACAAGATGGTATCCATGAGTTCTTTTTCTTTTGGGCTATTGCAATCTGTCCTACATAATTTTTAATTTAATTAGTTGTCCCAGTTCTTGCTTAAGTTAATTCTTTTGTCAACAAATAGCATCATCTTTTTTTTTTTTCAAGTCTTTGAACCAATGTCAACCAATTGGCCCTTCACCTAGTGATTTACAAGAATTATAATTTTCATACTATTAAAAAATAAGATTTAAAACTCATAATTTCCACATATATTAAACCAAAGTCTTTGGACCACTTATGTAAACTTTATTAGGTTATCAAAACATATCTTATTAATAAATATCTTGTGCTTCCCAATCGAAATTTAAATTGTGGTTTTTTGTACGTGGTCATGAGGTCAATTTTTACATTCTATTCTCTTATAAAATTAAATTTAATAAGTTAAGATAATTTAGATTTGTATAAGTTTCAAATCAAAAGTACTTTCAATGTTATGATTTAGTTTTTTTTTTTTTTTTTTCAAGTGCTTTGGGTTCTAGCATTATGACCATATCAAACTTTTTGAGAGATTTCATATGCAAATATAGTTCTACATTGGTAGAGTCTAGCAATGTAATTTCATACGGAATTAATCAACCATTCAACCTAAAAGCTGGAATTGTTAGGAGTTATTCAAAAAATGATTTTTCCTTAATTTTTTTATACTTTTAATCTAAATCCAAGATTGGCTACTAGATATTTGGTTTAATGATATGTTTCAATTTTGCTAATGTGATCCTTGTTATTTATCTTTTTCTCATATTAAATTTGATACATGCATTATTTTTTCATTCTTATTTCAATCCTTTTCTTACATTCCAATACTGAAAAAAATAATTAGTTTACATATAAGTGTGTATTAAGTGATCTATTTAAATGGAAATATTTTTATATTTGATTTTTAATAGATATTCTTAACACATAATCATTAATAATTACTCCATGAAATAATCTAAAATTTATATGTTCAATGCACTAATTAAAGAAATCCACAAAATTGGGATGTTATCAAGTGCCTTGGTTGAAGGTCGAGCACCATATCTTCTAAAGACACATGGTAGGGAAATAAAGCCTAAAATAGCCCTTTGTTGAGTTATGCAGCAATCATGCTTGACTTAGTCCACTAATTCTTATTTAGGCTATAGTAAATCTTGCTATGAATCAAGGGGGAAATAACTATATAAGTAGATATAGTTTAATGATTATATATTTGAAAAATTTTGTACTTTTAGTTTATTTATTTATTATATAATTTAATGGAGAAAGACAATCTCTATTATGTAGTTTGAATAAACCTTCCAATAAATCTAAAAAAAGAATAAGTATAAGAATATGAATATAAATTGAGAAATTTTAAAGCTAATAACTTAAAACAATGCTACTCTCCGCCAAAATTAGCTTTCCTATTTTTGATTCCTTCACCATCGCCATAACATCCTTTTTAGTGTATTGTCAATCAACAAGCCTAAAAAGTAGCTCCAACTTTCAACTAAGATACACAAGAAACACTAGACTACAACTATCTCATAATGAATATACATGTTTCTTATGCAATTCAATAGAACCAATGATCGTATGCATGCCACGAGATGCACTGCCCCAACCCCAATACATTTCACTTCCCTCTACGAAGCTACATAGAACAACTCTATCCACACCATTTGTATATAAAAAAATGTCTAATGACCAAAAAGACTATATTTTTTACATTTGACACCTACGATTATAAAAGCCATACTCTTTCTATAAATACAACCTTCATCCCAAACCAAAAACATATTGCTTCTTTCCTCTTTCCAATAAACCTATCAAAAACCTTGTATCCAAAATTTCATTTTCTTCCTTTCAAAAGTCATGAAGGAAGTGCATCCCGGGAACAAGAACGAACAACAATTGAGCACTTACTTCAACCAACTATTGATAGTCTAAAGATTATCACTTTAAACAACTAGATGATATATATGTAATAGAAAAATGTCCAATCATTTGCACTTGCCATGCATTCAAATTTATCACTTTTTAAACTCGCATCCAACTTAATCATTGACAAGCTATATAAGGCAAATTTTCCCACTTCACCTAATCATGGTCAAGCAACCGTCATACATATGGTGCTCAATTTCAACATGCTAAATTCATAGCTCCTTCTATTCTTCTCTAAAAGCCTTCTTTATCTTCTCTCTTCAATTGCTCCAATCGAGCGACATTATGAAAACCTCAATTTTTTTTTTCTATTTGAATGCTCAAGACCGCCCAATGGTGCTAATAAAAAGGAGAGGTAGGGGGAGGAGCACGGGACATGGGTGGGGAGAGAAGAAGACGTTGGTTTTATTTCAGATTTAGCTATATATGAGTAACTTGGTTTTTTGGATATAAGCAATATAAATGTCTAAGGAAAAGAAAAAATATATATATCTTTGAATTAAGGTGAAGAAAGACCAAATAAGAAAAAGAGATTTAGGTTAGGGGAAAAAATGAAAAAAAAAAAAAAAGCTTTGGCTTCACCTAAGCTATTTGTTAAAGTCGGCCCCTCAAGGAAGAAGATTGAGAGACATATAGGTTTTGGCCTTTAATAAGTTGACTCGGGCCTTCGTTAAGCATAGCCTTAAATGCGTTATAGAAAATAGAGACTCCACTAGATTAAGTTTTAGAGTAGGCACGGGGTCGATGCCCCTTTAAATGATTTTCTCTCAAGACGAATTTTTACAAACTCGTCCGCCTTATATTAACATGAAATTTTGAAGTGTGTTACATATGATTTGCTTAAGTTTAAATTTTTAACCTTTATACTCAATCACAAATATTAAGGATAATTTTGCAAATCATTTTTGTTTTTGTTTTTTCTTATAACGTTGCGAATAGACCATCAAGCTAAAAGTATGAAGAATAAATTATGGCTGCAAACGGGGTAAATAGGACATTAAAAGAGCTAGCTATCCCCGATCTTAATCGGCGACCTTTATGCATCGAATTCTCGAAAATAGAGGTGGCATTTGAGCTGAAATCTAAAGCTGATATACCTACTTTTGAAATTTTAAGGTCTAACTGGAGAAGACCTCCACAAACATTTAAAAGAATTCTATGTGATATACTCAACCATGAGACCTTAAAGAATATCAAAGGATCGGATTAAGTTAAGGGCACTTCTTTTTCACTAGATAAGGGTGCTAACGATTAGTTATATGATCTCCTTATAGGATCAATTGATTCATGGAATAGGATAAAGCAAGCATTCCCGATGAAGTAATTTCCTACTTCAAGGGTTACGAGCATAAGGAAGAAAATCTATGGGATTCAAAAATTTATTGGAGAAACTCTTCATGAGTATTAAGAGTCGTTTAAGAAGTTGTGTTCTAGCTACCCACACCATCGGATTTCTAATCGGCTATTGATCATTTATTTCTAAGAGGGTTTGCTCCCTATGGAGAGGATTATGATCAATGCGGTAAGTGGAGGAGCATTTATAGACAAAATGCCCAATGCTCGCTAGGGATCTAATATCAAATATGGCTACTAACTCACAACGAATTTGGTGTGAGGATTGATCATGCACCAAAAAGGGTAATTGAGGTAAACATTTTGAGTTCGCAGCAATATATATCATATTTAACTTCCTTGGTGAGATAGATGGTAGTTGGTAATCTACAAATGGTTAAGGCTTGTGAAATTTGTTCTACGACCGAACATAAAATAGATGCGTGCTTGACCTTACAAGAGAGGCATACGAAATAGGTGCATGAGGTCAAAAATTTTAGGAGTGGCTAACCAAGACCGTATGACCTTTATTCTAATACGCATAATCTTAGATGGGGAGATCACCCTAACTTGAGATATGGGGAGAATAGATAAGGTGGGAAAAATTTATACCAATGAAAGGAAGTAAGGGTACCAACCTAAGCCTTTCTAATAACAAACCCCATCATAATCTAAAAATTTTCTAGAAGGAACAATGTAGCCTCTTGCTTTGAGCACTAAGCAATTCCAACAAGAGACGAGATTAAGCATTCAAAACTTAGAGAATCAAATAAGTCAATTAGTGACTATGGTGAGTCGTTTAGAGGCTCAAATTAGAGGAAATTATTATCCTAAAAGGTGAAAGTCCTAAGGAGAATGTGAGTGCAATGACCTTGAGTAGTGGTGATCGGATAGAATAGCTAAGCAAAAGGAAGTCTAAATCATTGAAAGAAGAAAAAGTAAAAACGAGAGGAAGAGAATGAGAGTGCAACCATTGATAGGGTGACACCTAGCCATAAGGTCATTTTTTATCCTTCTACTCTATTTTTAACTAATCATGTGTCATTTCTTAGCGAGAGTTAGAGAAGCCTAGGAAAGAAGAGTTGAAGAAGAAAAAAGTGAAGGAGATCTTTGAGATATTTAGTAAAATAGAGGTAAACATACCTCTATTGGAGGCCATAAAACAAGTGCCTCGATATATCAAGTTCTTAAAGGACTTATGCATCAATAAAAAGAAGCTGAACATAAAAGAAAAGGTAAGAATGGAGGAGAATGTTTTGGCGGTTTTGCAATGGAAAATCCCTCCCAAGTGCACCGACCCAAGCATGTTCATTATACCATGCTAAATCGATAGTAAGAAAATAGACAAGGTCATGTTAGATTTAGGTATATCAATCAATGTAATGTCATATTCTATATACACTCGTATTAAATCTAGGGCCTTTGAAAAATACAAATATGATCATACAACTAGTCAATCATACTAATGTCTACCCTAAAAGGGTATTGGAAGATGTTCATATGCAAGTGAATCAATTTTTATTCCCAACGAATTTCTATGTCTTGAAGACGGGAGATGAATCTCCCTATAATCCCGCACCTTTCTTGTTATGGAGGCCGTTCTTAAAATGGAAAGAACAAATAAAAACATTTATGAGGGAGCTCTTACCATGGAGTTTGATGGTGAGATGATTCGATTTAGCATCCTCGAAAAGGATAATGCTAAGGCACAAGGAAGCTCGAGATCAAGCTTAATAATGAAAGATCCCCCTTCATAGGGAAAGGTAAGTTTGAGCCAATGACGTTAAACAAAAACGCTTACCGAAAAAAACCTAATGATTATTATAAAGTGTATGTTTGGATTTAAATTTTAAGTTAGTATTTAAATTTTTTTTTGTTTAAAATTTCACCTATACTTGACTTAAATGAAAGGATGAATAGTATACGTAATCGGGTATATAGATTTGGCTAAATTTCCAAAGAACAAAAAGAGACACATGGGCGAGTGGCAAAACAACACGATTTAAAGAAAAAAGTCACATGCCATATGACTAGAAAAGGCTAAAAATTAAAACTAAAGAGAAAGACCACATGGGTTGAATGGGATACACATGATGTGTGAAGAAAATCTACATAAACATATGACTTGAATGGAATTATGTTATACGGGCGGAATGGGATACACACGATTTATAAAGAAAAGCTACACGGCCACGTGAGTTGAATGGAATTATGTTACATAGGCAGAATATGACACACATGATTTATGAAGAAAGTTACACATCCATGTGAGTTGAATGAAATTGTCTTACATGGGTAGAATCGTTTTTACACAATTTGCGGTAGGATTCCACATAACCGTATGGAATTTAAAATGTTGCACTCGGTTAAGGGAGAAAAAAGGCACACGGTCAAAAGGAAATACACACGGTTTGCATGCAAATGTTACTCGGACATGTCCCATTTCTAGGCCAAAATTCACACGGTTTAACCTCTCAAAAGCCCAAATTTTATAAACTAAAACCTTAAATCATGTAACTTCATCTTTTCCAAAAAAACTCAAGTGTGCCACTAGCCCTTCTTCTCCATTCTTTCTCCCATTTTTCAAATCTATAAATCTCTCATATAACCAGACCTCAAATCATATTTCCATAAACCACCACTCTTTCATAACCCACTAAAGAGCCTTTCTTTCACCACTCAACAAAGAACCAGTGCCCTTTCTTTCCCCAAAGCTTTTCCATAAATAAAAATGTCTACCTCAAGAGAAAAAGTTAAAAAAGTGGCATCACAACAAGGAAAGAACTCTCGTAAAAAAGAATCAATCATGAGGGAAGGCTATCCTTCTAGATTCTACCCAAGGATAGAGTTTGAGAATAAAGAGTAAGAAACACACTATAATGTTTAAAGGAGACGAAAGTGATAGAAAATAGGTACGTGGATGTGTAAGCACTAAAAGTTATGGGTTTGTTGGGAGAGGTGAGGGAGATGTTGAAAATAATTGGATGGGTGGATTTGTTAAGGATAGATGCTCCTTCTTACAAGGAGTTAACATGGGAATTCTTTGGTTCATTTCGGGTGGAAAGAATGAGGGAAGAGTAATAGTTGATTCATGATCATTTCATGTTTTAGATAGCAAATAAAAAAAATGTTATATAAATATGAACATGATGGTAATTTTTTTGATTAGCCACATGATGGCGCAAAGCTACCACTAACGGGTTTCTCGTGGAGATTACGAATTCACCACGAAGGTGTATAATTTATCGCGATAAAAAACATCGGTAATCATAAATGATGTGAACTCCATGTATAAAGATATGAGACCTAAACATCTTTATCGCTAGATAACCCCAAGAATGCATTCAATCAGATTATAACAAGTAAAACTTAGTTTGTTGGCTAAAAGGAGGCAAAAATTGAAACTATGATACAATGGAGTGAAGAACGCCACACTCTATGGATGATGATAAGTTCAAAGATGCCACAAGGGTTGTAATTCTTGATAAGTCAAATTTAGTTCTCAAAAGAATAAAGAAAAAAATCCCCTCAAATTTATTAGCTCTCAAAATTATTATGTTCCTATAAAATGGAACTAAACTAGCCTTTAAATAGGCTAAAATGCCACTCCTAACCCTAAAAGGACTCTACTTGTCCTTATCATCTAAGAAGAATAGAAATAGATCCTAATAGTCTTAAAAACATATCCAAATAATAG